AAAATTAGCGAGAATAGGCAGTGGGGAAAAAAGGAAATTAAAAAAGGGGGCAAAAAGAGTGCAAGAAAAACAAGCTGTAAAAACGGTTAAAAAAAATTGGATTAAAAAAGGGTAAAAGAGTTTAGACAGTACTTCCCTCGCTGTCGGAGACGTGACGACTGCATGCCTATTATGTTTTTTTTTTCGCAGTAGATTTCAAAGCATTCGGTTTTGTACTTCCTGAGTAAATCAATAAAATAAATTTGCGCATTCATTTTTTTTTTGAGTCACCCGGTATATGCAAATTCAAAAAATATGAATGGGATGATAAATTACAAGTACAAACTCATCATATTTTGTACATTCTAGATAGGATTTATTCGGCAAACTTTTGAGCTGACGTCATCAGTTTTTTGGAGAAGATAGCCAAATATATTTTGACTAAAAATTTATTATGCTCTTTATAACCTTAAAACATCTGCAACATTTCAAAACATTCGGATTAGGAGATTCAAAATTAAATTGCAAAATGTTGTTCTATAATTTTGATTTTTTTTTCCAAAAATCTGAACGTTTCGGGTAAAAACTCAATTCGGAAGCGTAAACTACATGTGTAGGACTATGTTATTTTATACAATTTAAGACCCATTTACTATGTACAATTTTGAAGTGACGTCATCACATTAGTTGCTTACGCTCAGGAAGAAAAAGACGTGAAAAAGAGGAGATAAAAACGGAGACAACAATAAAAGAGACAATAAAAAAGAAGACAACAAAAAAAGGGGACAACAGAAAAGGGGATTATAACAATGGGTTTTAAAGGGATAAGCACAAAAACGCGATAAGAAAAAGGCACTTAAAAAAACGACGAAAACAGAGCTAAAAAATTACGATCAAATATGACAAAAAGTGACGACAAATAAGGGGATAAAAATTAGTGACAAAAAAAGGGGCCACAAAAGGGGTTTTAAATAAGATAATAAAAAGACAGCAAATAAGAAAAAAAAAAGCTATCCAAAAAGCAGTCACAAAAACTGAGTAATAAAAGGATTAAATAACGACAAAAAACTTCAATAAAGAAAGGCGAAAAAATCGACAACAAAATCGACTAAAAAAAGACGGCTACAGTTTATAAAAAATTGTTACAAAAACATAAAAGTTGGTAGAAAAGAAAAGTAAAAAAAGGTAAAAAGTCGTGACGCGACAAGGAAAGATACAAAAAAAAGAAAACCTAAAAAATGGCCCAAAAAAGGAGTAAAAAACGTGATAAAAGAAGACGATAAAGAGGGGGACAAATAATCGGTACAAATAAGAAATTAAAAAAGCGATAAAAAAGCCATTAAAAATTGCAGGAAAAACGGGATAAAAAGGTAAGGAAGAAAAAAGTTAAAAACGCGACAAACAAAAGAGACAGAAGGAGACAATAAACAAGAGGACAAAATCACAACAACAAAAAAACAGAAAAAGTGACCAAAAACCTAAAAAAGAAGACAAAAAAACGATAAAAAAGGGGCGACAAAAAAGTGATTGTAACAAACAAGGTTAGAAAGATAAGCAAAAAAAGGGTTAAAAAAAATCACGTCAAAAAAGCGACAAATAAAGCGAGAAAAAAAATAAGAAAAGGCAACAAAATAAAGGGACTACAAAACGGGGTCTTAAAAATGGGATTAAAAAAAATAAGCGAAAATAGGCGTTGGGAAAAAAGGGCAATTAGAAAAAGGGTAAAGAGAGCAACAAAAATAGTGTGCAATTAAGAAAAAAAGCCATAAAACGGTTTAAAAATGGGCGTAAAAAAGGGGAAAAAAACGAGACCAAAAAATGAGACGAAAAAAAGCGATGAAAAACAGCAGTGAAAAAAACTATAAAAGCAAATAAAAAATGGCAGCAAAAAAAGGTGATGAAACAGGGGGTTAATAATGATGACAATTTATTTACAGAAAGCGTCCAAGGTAAACAAAATAGGCGGAAAAAACGAAAACAAAAGACAAGTAAAAAAGGAGTTAAAAAATCAAGACAAAAAAGAGGGAAAAAAAGAGATGACAAAGGGAACAAAAAATCGCGAAAAAAAGCGACGAAAAATTGACCAAAAAAAAGGCGAGAAAAAAAGGGACAATAAAAAAACACCAAAAGGAGCAACAAAAAGGGGACTGAAAAAAGGTCAAAAAGGGGGTCAAAAAATGCAAAAAATTAATTAGAAAATCGCGACAAAAAGCGATGACAAACAGGTGAGACAAAGGCGCGACAAAAAGGACATAAGAAAGGGGCGTTGTAAAAAGGAGGTAAAAAAAATAAGTGACAAAGGGTGGTGAAAGAAAAAATTAATTAAAAAAGACAAAAACAAAAACGCGACAAAAGAAACACCAAATAAGAAACAAAACAAAAACGACTAAAACAGCGCTAAAAAATTACGATCAAATATGACAAAAAGTGACGACAAATGAGAGGATAAAAATTAGTGACAAAAAAAGGGGCACAAAAAGGGTTTTAAATAAGATAATAAAAAGACAATAAATACGAAAAAAAAAGCTATCCAAAAAGCAGTTACAAAAACTGCGTAATAAAAGAATTAAAACACGACAAAAAACTTCAATAAAAAAAGGCGAAAAAATCGACAACAATTTCGATTAAAAAAAGGCGACTAGAGTTTATAAAAAATGGTTACAAAAACATAAAAGTTGGTAGAGAAGAAAAGTAAAAAAAGGTAAAAAATCGTGACAAAAACGCGACAAGGAAAGATACAAAAAAAAAGAAAACCTAAAAAATGGCCCCAAAAATGGCCCTAAAAAGGGGTAAAAAACGTGATAAAAGAAAACGATACAACAAATAATCGCTACAAAAAAAGGGACGGAAAAATCGATTTTAAATGACAATAAAAACGATAACAAAGGCATCAGAAATGTGACAAAAAAGGGGCGCAAAAACGCGACAAAAAAGGTGATAAAACAGTAGTAACAATTTATTAACGGAAATTGTTCATTAAATAAATCAATCAAGAAGGCCATTACAAGAGGAGCAAAAAAATCAGGACAAAAAAAGAGCCACAAAAAAGGGACGAAAAAGTGACAAAAAGCGACAAAAAAAAAGGGGACAACAACAAAAGAGATCAAAAAATGCAAAAAAAGGCAACTGAAAAAAGTGTAAGAAAACACGACAAAAGCGAGGAACAACAACACGAAATTTTATAAAGGGGTTAAAAATAAGTGAAAAATTGCTGCAAAAGAAAAAGGAAATTAAAAAAACAGGGTAAAAAAGCGTAACAAAAGAGGGCAAATAAGAAATTAAAAAAGCGATAAAAAAGCCATTAAAAATTGCAGGAGAAACGGGATAAAAAGGTACGTAAAAAAAAAAGTTAAAAACGCGACAAACAAAAGAGACTATAACCAAGAGGACAAAATCACAACAACAAAAAACAGAAAAAGTGACCAAAAACTTAAAAAAAGGACAAAAAAACGATAAAAGAGGGGCGACAAAAAAGCGGTTATAACAAAGGAGGTTAGAAAAATAAGCAAAAAAAGAACTAAAAAATCACGTCAAAAAAAGCGACCAAATGAGACGACAAAGAAACGAAGAAAAAAAACAGAAAAGGCAACAAAACAAAGTGACTACAAAGCGGGGTCTTTAAAATAGGATTAAAAAAAATAAGTGAAAATAGGCGGTGGGAAAAAAGGGCAATTAAAAAGAGGGTGAAGAGAGCTAAAAAAAAAGTGTGCAATTAAGAAAAAAAGCGATAAAAATGGGCGTAACAAAGGGGTAAAAAACGGGATCAAAAAATGAGACGAAAAAAAGCGATGAAGAACAGCAATGAAAAAAAGTATAAAGGCAATTAAAAAATGGCAGCAAAAAAAGGTGATAAAACAGGGGGTTAATAATAACAATTTATTTACAGAAAGCGTTCAAGGTCAACAAAAAAAGCGGAAAAAACGAGAACAAAAGACACGTAAAAGAGGAGTTAAAAATCAAGGCAAAAAAGAGCGAAAAAAAGAGATGCTAAATAAAGGAACAAAAAATCGCGAGAAAAGCGACGAAAAATTGACAAAAAAAGGCGAGAAAAAAAGGGACAATAAAAAACACCAAAAGGAGCAACAAAAAGAGGACAGGGGTAATTAAAAAATCGCGACAAAAAACGATGAAAGACAGGTGAGAAAAAGGCGCGACAAAAAGGAGATAAGGGGCGTTTTAAAAAGGAGGTAAAAAAAATAAGTGACAAAGGGTGGTGAAAGAAAAAATTAATTAAAAAATACGGTAAAAAACACGACAAAAGAAACAGCAAATAAGAAACAAAACAAAAGCGATAAAAAAGCAGTTAAAAAAATTAGCGGAGAAAAGGGGTAAAAGTGCGTTAAAAACGTGGGGGGGGGGGGGAAGACGATAAAATTAAGGCGAGGAAAAAGAGGAGAGAAAAAAGCGACAAAAATGATGTAAACAATGTGACAATCAAAAGCGACAGAAGGAGATGATAAATCAGACGACAAAAAATTGCAATAAAGAAAGGAACGGAAAAGTGACAAAAAAAGGAGGAAAAGAGATAAAACGTGACAAAAAAGATAAAAAAAATTTGACTAAAAAACGCAATAAAAATTTTAAGACAATTTATCAAGTTTTTGGAGAAAAGAAAAAAAATTATATATACTGTAAAATGTTACTTTACAATTTTGATTTTTTTTCCAAAAATCTAGACGTCAAAGGTTAAAAATAAAGTCGACAATTTAACTAGGATTTTTTTTCCAAAAAAAAAGACCTTATCAAATTTTGGTTCTAAAACGTCGAGACGATAAAAATCTATCTGATCTCTAAAAATTTCACGGCAAACAATTCAGTAACTTTGGAGATTTTCTGTCCAATAAATTCGACAACAGACGACTTTTTCATATTCTCGTATTTCTAGGAGAAATTGACCATTCAAAATGAACCTTATTAAACAGACCATTTGCAATTTTAACCACTTTATAATTAAAATAATAATAATAATATTTTAATTTTCGTATCTTTAAACCCCCACCCCGAAAACCCGAAAATCCTACCTTGAAACAGCACCGCCGAGTAGTTATTGATGAATGCCCTCAGCGCCGCAAAAACGTGCTTGAACAAACCCTCGCTCTGCCCGATCTGCATAAACGTCAAATAAATATCGAAAATCTTCTTCATCACCTCGTTGTCCCCGTCCGCCGCCACCAGACTCTTCCGAAAATTCATGCAGTACAACCCCATCGCGTCCAACGTGATCATCCCCACCTCCGTCGCCAGGTGCTGCTCCAAGACCGCCTGCTGCTTCTTCAGCACCTCGTTCTCCGAACTGATCAAGTTCTCCCGATTCGCCATGTGAATCACCAGCGTGCTCGTGTTCTCGTGGTTCATCTCCGCCGGGTTCATCCGCGCCGGCAGCGTGTGCGCCTTCTTGGGGTTGCTCTTCGTGCCGTCCACCCCTTGCTGCTTCACCACCGTCACGTTGCGCTTGCCCACGTACTTGAAGCAGTGCAGGCACATTTCTAACACGGCGAAGAAGTTGGACACGTCGACGTCGCCGTATTGTTGCCACCAGGCGATGAGCTGCTCCTCGCCGAGGTACTTGACCACGAAGAGGAAGATTAAGAGGACGTCTTTCACCTCGGAGGACTGGAGTTTGTCGTAGCGCTGCACGTGCGAGGTGGTGCGGGTGTGGGATTTGGAGTCGCCGTTGCGGAGGACGTCTTCGCGGACGATGGCGGTGTCCTGGGAGGCGGTGGATTGGGCGTCGGTGGAGACGGCGGAGATGTCGGAGTCGATGCTGAGGGAGTTACCATTGACTAGAGCTGGAATAAAAAAATTAAGTGCGTTAAATAGTGACATGGAAAGTATATAAAGATCACAAATTTTTAATTACGTTGGAGCACTTGACAAAATACAATTCAATTTTCATCTCAGGGTAAATAAAATGGGGCTAGTTTCAACATAAAATCCACTTTTCGTTGAATTAAATGGGTCATCCAGAAAAAAAAATCGAAAAATTAAAAAATCGATATTCAAAATCCGAAAAGTCGAAAAACCGAAAGATCGAGCAATTGAAACATGAAAAAATTGAAAAATTGAAAAACCCAGAAATTGAAAAATTGCCAAACTGAAATATTGAAAAATCGAGAAATTTGGGGATCGGAAAGTCGAAAAATTTTAAAAACCGGAAAACCGAGTTGTCAAGAAATCCAGTAAAAAAATCGCAAAATTGAAAAATGGGAAAACTGAAGAATCTAAAAATTGAAAAATCTAGAAATTGAAAAAATTCCAAATCTGAAAGGATGAAAGATTGTTGGGAAACCGAAAAACTGTAAAAATCGAAAAGCTGAAAAGCTTAAAAATTGAAAAACAGAAATCGAAACATCCGAAAATTTTAAATCTTTGAGAAACGAAACATCAAAAAATTGAGCAGTCGAAAAATCGAAAAATTCAGAGAATGGAACACTTAAAAATTGACAAATTTGAAATTACAAAGAATTGATAAATCGAAAAATCGGGAAATTGAACAATAAAAAAATCTAAACATCGAAACTTCGATAAATCGAGAAATTGAAAAATTTTAAAATCGAAAAACTTAACTGGAAAACTGAAAAATCGAAAAGTTAAAAAATCCAGAAACTGGAAAATTCCCAAATTGTAAACGAGAAATCTAAAAAATCGATAGGTCGAAAATTTAAAAAAATCGAAAACCGAGATGTCAAGAAACTACGAAATCGTAAAATCGAAAAACTGAAAAAAACCAAACTGAAAAACCAAATATTTAAACATTTGAGAAATTGAAAAATGGGAAAACTGAAGAATCGAAAAACTGAATAATCGAGAAATTGAAAAATTCTAAATCTGAAACTATGAAACATTGTTGGGAAATCGAAAAATTAGAAAATCGGAACATCGAAAAACTGGAAAATCGAAAACCCAAAAAGCTGAAAAATCGAAAAATAGAGAAATCGAAAAATCGAATAATTGAAAACTTAAACATCGAGAAGTCCAAAAATCGAAAAATTCAAAGAATAGAAAGTTAAAAATTGAAAAATTTGAAATTACGAAGAAATCGGTAAATTGAAAAATTTTAAAATCGAAAAATTGAAAAATCACTATACTGAAAAATCAAATATTTAAACATCTAAAAAATTGAAAAATGGGAAAACTAAAGAATGGAAAAATTGAAAAATCGAGAAATTGAAAAATTCCAAATCTGAAACGTTGACAGATTGTTGGGAAATTGAAAAATAGAAAAATTGGAACATCGAAAAGCATAAAAGTTGACAAATCGGAAAATTCAGAGAATCGAAAAACTGAAAAATCGAGAAATTGAAAAATTCTAAATCTGCAGTATGAAACATTGTTGGGAAATCGAAAAATTATAAAATCGGAATATCGAAAAATCGAAACATCGAATAATTGAGAAATTCAGAGAATAGAAAGTTAAAAATTGAAAAATTTGAAATTACAAAAAAATCGATACATCGAAAAATCGGGAAACTGAACAATAAAGAAATCGAAACATCGAAACCTCCATAAATTGAAAAATTTTAAAATCGAAAAATTGAAAAATCACTAAACTGAAAAATCAAATATTTAAACATTTGAAAAATTGAAAAATGGGAAAACTGAAGAATGGAAAAACTGAAAAATCGAGAAACTGAAAAATTCCAAACCTGAAACGTTGACAGATTGTTGGGAAATCGAAAAATTGAAAAATCCAGAAGGTGGAAAATTCCCGAATTCAAGTATTTAAAAATCGAAAATCTAAAAATCGAAAAACCAAAATGTCAAGAAATCTAATCAAAAAAATGAATCCAATCGTAAAATCGAAAAATTGAAAATTCACTAAAGTGAAAAATCAAATATTTAAACATTTAAAAAATTGAAAAATGGGAAAACTAAAGAATGGAAAAACTGAACAATCGAGAAATTGAAAAAACATCGAAAAACTGGAAAATCGAAAGGTCGAAAAGTTGAAAAATCGGAAAATTCAGAGAATAGAAAAACTAAAAATTGAAATTAAAAAAAAAAAACGATGAACCGAAAAATCGAGAAATTGAACAATAAAAAAACCGAAAAACTGAAAAATCGATAAATCGAAAAATTTTAAAATCGAAAAACTTAAAAACCAGAAAATTGAAAAATTTAACTTAAACATCGGGAAATAAAACATCAAAAAATCGAGAAGTCGAAAAATTCAGACGATAGAGAAGTTAAAACTTAAAAAATTTGCTAATAAAAAAATTTTAAAAATCGAAAACCCGAGATGTTAAGAAATTCTATCAAAAAATCGCAAAATCGTAAAACTGAAAAATCAAAAATTTAAAACATCGAAAAATTGAAAAATGGGAAAACTGGAGAATTGAAAAACTGAAAAATCGAGAAATTGAAAAATTCTAAATCTGAAGAAACTATGAAAGTTTGTTGGGAAACCGAAAAATTGAAAAATCGAAACATCGAAAAATTGAAAAATTCAGAGAATAGAACAGTTAAAAATTGGAAAATTTAAAATAAATTGCAATATCGAAGCCTCGATAAATCGAGAAATCGAAAAATTTTAAAAGTGGAAAAACTTAAAAACCGGAAATTAGAAAAATTGAAAAATTAAAATTTCGAAAAATGGAGAGATCTAAAAATCGAAAAATTGAACAACAAAATAATCGAAACATCGAAACCTCGCTACATCGAGAAATCAAAAAATTTAAATATCGAAAAACTTAAAACCGAAAAACTGAAAAATCGAAAAATCAAAATTTTCAAAATCGCAAAATCAATAACCGAAAAATCTAAAACCAAGAAGCCGAAAAATTGAAAAAGTAAAAAATTCGGAAATCGAAAAATTAAAACATCGAAAAATCCCAAAACTAAAATATGAAAAGACTGAAAAATAGAGAAATCGAAAAGTCGAAAAATTGAACTGGAAAAATCGAAAACCTGAAAAATCAAAAATTGAAGAATTTGATATTAAAAATAAAACGATAAACCAAAAAATCGAGAAATTGAACATTAAAAAATCGAAACACCGAAACCTCGATAAATCGAGAAATCGAAAAATTAAATTTCGAAAAATTTAGAAATCTAGAAATTGAGAAATACCCAAATTGAAAAAATTTTTAAATCGAAAAACCAAGATGTCAAGAAATCCAATCAAAAAATCATAAAATCGAAAAACTGAAAATTCACTAAATTGAAAAATAAAAAATTTAAACATACAAAAAAATTGAAAAATGGGAAAACTGAAGAATCGAAAAAATCTAAATTGAAAAATTTTAAAATCGAAAAACCTTAAAAACCGGAAAACTGAAAAATCAAAAAATTGAAAAATCCAGAAACTGGAAAATTCCCAAATTGAAATATTGAAAAATTGAGAAATCTAAAAATCGATAGGTCGTAAAATTTTTAAATTGAAAAACCAAGATGTCAAGAGATCCAATCAAAAAATCACAAAATCGAAAAACTGAAAATTCACTGAATTGAAAAATAAAAAATTTAAACATACAAAAAATTGAAAAATATGAAAACTGAAGAATCGAAAAGCTGAAAAATCGAAAAAATTGAAAAAACCTAAATCTGAGGCTATGAAACGTTGGGAAATCGAAAAATTAGAAAATCGAAACCTCGAAAAACCGGAAAACCAAAAAGCTGAAAAATGAAAAGCAGAGAAATCGAAAAATCGAAACATCGAATAATTGAAAAATTTAAACCTCGAGAAGTTGAAAAATCGAGAAATTCAGAAAATAGAAAGTTAAAAATTGAAAAATTTGAAATACAAAAAAATCGATAAATCGAAAAATCGGGAAATTGAACAATAAATAAATCGAAACATCGAAACCTCGATAAATTGAAAAATTTTAAAATCGAAAAATTAAAAAATCACTAAACTGAAAAATCAAATATTTAAACATTTGAAAAATTGAAAAATGGGAAAACTGAAGAATGGAAAAACTGAAAAATCGAGAAACTGAAAAACTCCAAACCTGAAACGTTGACAGATTGTTGGGAAATCGAAAAATTGAAAAATCCAGAAATTGGAAAATTCCCGAATTCAAGTATTGAAAAATCGAAAATCTAAAAATCGAAAAACCAAAATGTCAAGAAATCCATCCAAAAAAATGAATCCAATCGTAAAATCGAAAAATTGAAAATTCACTAAAGTGAAAAATCAAATATTTAAACACTTAAAAAATTGAAAAATGGGAAAACTAAAGAATGGAAAAATTGAAAAATCGAGAAATTGAAAAATTCCAAATCTGAAACGTTGACAGATTGTTGGGAAATTGAAAAATAGAAAAATTGGAACATCGAAAAGCATAAAAGTTGACAAATCGGAAAATTCAGAGAATCGAAAAACTGAAAAATCGAGAAATTGAAAAATTCTAAATCTGCAGTATGAAACATTGTTGGGAAATCGAAAAATTATAAAATCGGAATATCGAAAAATCGAAACATCGAATAATTGAGAAATTCAGAGAATAGAAAGTTAAAAATTGAAAAATTTGAAATTACAAAAAAATCGATAAATCGAAAAATCGGGAAACTGAACAATAAAGAAATCGAAACATCGAAACCTCCATAAATTGAAAAATTTTAAAATCGAAAAATTGAAAAATCACTAAACTGAAAAATCAAATATTTAAACATTTGAAAAATTGAAAAATGGGAAAACTGAAGAATGGAAAAACTGAAAAATCGAGAAACTGAAAAACTCCAAACCTGAAACGTTGACAGATTGTTGGGAAATCGAAAAATTGAAAAATCCAGAAATTGGAAAATTCCCGAATTCAAGTATTGAAAAATCGAAAATCTAAAAATCGAA